GCGGAAGGCGGAGGGAGGAAGCCAGGCCCCTGCGGCGAGGGTGGCAGCGCGACCGACCGGGGACTGAGCCAGCCTCGCTGCTCTGAAGACTCCGGCGAGCGACCCGAGCAGCGGTCGCCGAGACCGAGACGCACAAGGGCTGGATGTCAGAACAACATGCTGGTCCATTAAACTCCAAACTTTTCTTTTTTGAAACCCAAAGAATATCGGTGATTTTTGTCCACTGCTAAAAGAAGAGAGAGAGGAAGCCCAGGGCGCTTGAGATGCCGCGAAATCCTTATTTATAAACAGGCCCGCGCTAGTGCTAGGGAAGCGCCCGGGGCTCGAGAGCTCTCTACCCTATGGATATCAGCCCGGAGAAGCTGTGAGAACCCACTGCCCTGCCCTCCGCACTGGGTCGCACGGCCTCCGCCCTTTCAATGCCCGGTTTCTGCGGGGACTGCTGGGCTTCCCTGGAGATCCGAGCGGTGCTGTGTGCCATGGGCTGCATCCAGAGCATCGGGGGCAAGGCCAGAGTCTTCCGCGAAGGGGTCACAGTGATCGACGTGAAGGCCTCTATCGACCCGGTCCCCACGAGCATCGACGAGTCCTCCAGCGTGGTGCTCCGGTACCGGACGCCCCACTTCCGGGCCTCGGCCCAGGTGGTCATGCCACCCATCCCCAGGAAGGAGACCTGGGTCGTGGGCTGGATCCAGGCATGCAGCCACATGGAGTTCTACAACCAGTATGGTGAGCAGGGCATGTGAGTACCCCAGGGCCTGGCTTTGGGGGTGCCCGGAGGCAGAGAGGGTGGGTGGGTGACCTGGCTTCAGGCAGTGGTGAGATGGCCTCTCACATCCTCCTGGCTCAGGGACTCCGCAGAGGGTTTACTTGTCCCCCTCCCCGGGGCATGGCTCTAGGACCTCCCTGGTCATTGTCCTGACCCCTGGGTCCCTGTGTCCACACTTGCAAGATCCCCAGAAACCGGAGAACCATTCCTCCCCCGGTGTGTCTTTAGAAAAGCAAGTATGCCACCGGCCTGGGGGGTATCAGGGCCATCAGGGTCGTCAGAAAGGCTGCCGCTCTGCCCGGCTCACCCCGCAGGGGCCCACGTGTCACGTCTTGGGGCCTTCTGCTGGGCTGGGTGCCTGGGGGAACCTGCCTCTCCTGCCCCAGGGGAATGTCTGCTGTTCAGTCGCAGATGGCCTCCCTCGAGTTAGTTTTGGAAAAAGCTGCATGGCTTGGCAGTGCAGGGCTGTGTCTCCCAGCAGAAGGCAGGTGACAATGTTAGTGTCCGGTGTCGGTCTGGTGTGGCCCTGGCTGGGAGCAGCTAGGAGGAGCTCACTGGCTGCTTCTATGCAGCCTGGTCTCTGAGAAGTCCTCGGGGGATGGAGTGGGCCCCGGGACCCTGGGTCTTGCTTTGGCATGGCTCCCACCCCCGAGCAGGCCCCTGGGACAGTTAGCGGCCTTGGACCAGGGCAGGGCAAGGTGCGCCTTCTCAGGCCTCCGAGAGCCAGGTCGCCTCCGACTTGACCCCCGCGAGTGGCCGTGGACACTGCCCCATACCCTCTGCCTGTGTGCTCTCTGTGCCACCTCCACTTCCTGCAGACTCGTCCCTGTTTAGGGAAGCCCCGGGCCACCTGGAAGTGGGAAGTGGCCGGAGAGAAGCAGGGGCGACCTCCCCGAGGCCAGGTGGCACCCGGAGACCCCCAGGGACTCCCTTCCAGCCCCTGTCACGAAGCTGGGGGGCCAGGGGTCTGAGTTTCCATCCCACGGAGGGCAACATGACTCTTGGCTGTTTGGGAAGGACCTTTCCTAAGATATCTTCTGCCCAGAAGCCTCCCCCGGCTTTGAAAGGCATCTGGGACTGTTGTCGAGAAAGAGGTTTTCCTGGGGCCCCAGGCTGGACCTGGTCTCTTCCCTGATTTCTGTGCAGCGGCCTAAGAGTCTGAGACCTGGATGACTGGGGCCTTACTGTACCAGGTCCTTGGTTCCGTACTAAATGAGATCTTAGACTCTGTGGAGAAGCAGGCCTGAGCAGGACAGCAGGCTGTGCAGCTTCCTGGAGTGTGACCCCGGCAAGCTTTCTAGCCACCCGAGCCTTGTTTCCTGGTCCTTATGCTGGAGCCGGTCGAGTGCCTCCTGCGTGTGTCTCACTGTGAGGGCTACTCCCACGACCTTAGCTGTGGCCATCCGGGGCCCTGCTCACCTCTGTACAGGTGGCTGCTGGCCCTAACATGGCTGCCACAGTCCCTGGGCTTCCGATGGACGGCGCTGAGTGATGCGCTTTGTACTCTGAGGATCGGGGCTGAAGGTGCAGCTGCTCCTGAGACGGCCCCTAGCCCAGGCCTCCGGCTGCACCAGCCCACACCCCAACTTTTAGACATCTAAAAATAGCGCAAGTTAGAGGCGGTATAAGAGGCTGAAGGCCGAGTTGTCTCCCTGCTTTCCATCAGCCCTGCAGGTTCCTTTGTCCCCTTGATGTCCCAGGTTGCGTAGGACCAGCTGCAGGGAGCGGGTTGAGCTCGAGGCTCCCTGCAGGCTGGCGGTGGGGATGGGCCAGCGGACCACCCTTGGGGGGCATGCACAGTAGGTGGCTGCCGCTGCAGCGTGCATTATCATGGTCGGAATCGCCCCACGGCCGGACTCCTCCAGGCCTGTGTCCACCCCGTGTCCTGTGGGGACAGAGGGAGGAAGAAGAAAGGCAGGACACAGCCGGGGGGCTGGCTTCTTCCTGAACACACATTGCAGTGTTAAATGGGATTGGGAGGAACCTTGCCGGCTTCCCTACCCCAGACTTCCAGTGATAACTGCTGCCTGCGAGTTTCTAAGCCTCAAGCAGAGGTGAGAGCTTCTGCCAGCCAGGGGCCCAGGTGCTGTGTCTTTGTGCCGGGGACGCTGACAGCATCCCTGGGCTCTACGCGCCGGAGGCCCCCAAAGTTGTGACAACCACAGATGTCCCCGCATGGCCCAATGTCGCCTGGCCTCAGCCCAGTCTGAGTCACTCGCTGGAAACCCAGGCACGGGGCCCCCGTGGCCTGGGCAGGGGACAGGCAGGTGGCCACGACTAGAGTAGAGCGCCCGTTCTCTACAAATGGGCTTGGATTCAAAATATTAATCCCAAATACTTAGCCGAAATCCATAATACCCTCAGCTGTCATCCCTGCTTGAAATTAATCTCTAAACTGGAAGGAGAACTTTTTCACAGTGACATTCTGGGTTTGAAATATTCAAAATGGGATCAAAGGCAAAAACTACCATGCCACGAACGCCCCAACTCGGACGGGCACAAGTGGAAGGTGGCCTCTCCATGCCAACTCAGGAGGGTTCTGTGTGGTTCCGGGCCGGCCCACGTTGCTCTCAGAGCCAGCCCCCTCCAACTGTCGGAGACACCTACCTCCACAGCCGGCCCCCGCGACTCCTCAACCGCCACCTGTCAGCTGGCACACAACCTTCTAAGTGACAAGTCACAGCTTCTCGCCTGTGTGGGAGACACTTGGAGTTGTCCCTAGTTTGCCCTGTGCTGGGGCCCCCAGGGGAACTGGCCCACAGCCACAGCCTCAGCCAGCAGTGGCTTCCGTGTTCTGCCCCTGGGCAGACCGGGGAGTGAGGGACCGGCTCAAATAGAAAGGGTCTTTCTGGTTTGCCCAGCGTGATGACATACTTCTGCAATCCCAGCACTCAGCAGGCTGAGACAGGAGGATCTCTGCAAGTTCGAGGCCAGACTGGGCTACCTACTGAGTTCAAGGCCAGCCCAAACTGTGTAGCAAGACCCTGTCTCAAAAAAAGAAAAGAAACGGGGTGGGGGAGGCAGGGGTTTAGCTCAGTGGTTCCACTGCCTACCTCACAAGTGCAAGGACCCGAGTTCGATCCCCGGTACCAAAATAAATAAATAAGTAAATAAAAAGTTTTTAAAAAGTAAAAGAAACATTCTCTCTGGACTGATAATGCCACCTCCCTGTGCCCGGGCACAGCCGGGGATGGATCCCCACTCAGACCCCTGAGCCAGTCCTTTAACCTTTCAGAGCCTTGCAGTTCCCATGTGAGAAATAGGGAGGCCAGCGTCTCCCTCCTGGGCAGGCTGAGGGCTTAGTGCGCTGACGTGAGCGGGTGCTTGCTGAGCTCGGTGCTGGGTGCTTACTGAGTGCTCCCTGCGCAGTGGCTCTCAGGACCATGACTGCCAGTCCCAAGTCCCGGTGATTATTTCTCTGCATGGAGATCGCTGTGCTGTTGGGCTGTGCCCTTCTTCTCCCCCTGGGTTTTGGTCTCATCCCTAGCAGGAGAACCTCGGGCAATGAGGCCCTGCCAAGGTCTCTAGGGTGGGGACAGGCCCTGGGGGGCATCCCTGCTGGCCACATGGCCTCTCCTGGAGTCGGGGCCTGAGCTCTCGGCTCTGCACAGGACAACTGAGGACAGAGCTTCCTCTCTGCAGCGGAAGGCAGCCTCCGGAGGGAAGGCCTGATTCAAGGCTCTGGGCGGGAGAAGCCGTGCGGGGCGGCCCAGCCCCGGAGAGACTCCCCTGGACCCGCCCAGCCGTTGTCCGACCCCCTGGACACAGGCTGGCTCCCGGGAGCCACAGCCATCAGGGAAGTGAAGGGAAAACCTGCATCCCTTTCTGCAGGTCGGACCTGGGGAAACGGACACAGCCAGGCTGACGTTCTTCCGTGTGCAGAGCAACTCAGAGCCCACGCATAAGCCCTGTGTGCCGCCCAGGCCTGGCCCACGGAGGCGTCCACGGGTGACCTGGTGAACAAGGGGATCATCAAGTGGGTAAACAGAGGAGCTGAAGTAAGGATGCTCGCAGCCAGGCATGGCGTGCGCCCGTCATTCCGGCACTTGGGAAGCTGAGGCAGGAGGATTGCTGTGAAATGGAGGCCAGCCTGTGATACAAAGTTCAAGGCCAGCTTGAACTACACAGTGAGACCCGATCGAAAGAAAGAAAGAGAGAGAGAGAAAGGAAAGGACGAGGAGGTGCGGCTCGGTGGTCGAGCTGCTGCCTGGCAGTGTGAGCCCTGGGTTCCATCTTCAGCAAGAAGAAAAGGAAGTTAGAAGAGGCTGTGCGGACGGGAGCCGGAGAAGACGCCAGCCTGGGAGCATGGCCGCTGTGTGGCCGGCTGTGGGGGGAACTTCAGCGGGGAAGACGGCCCGGCAGAGATGGCTTCCGAGTTTCACTTCACACATTTCCCTGTGGTTTGCTTGAAAACAAAAGTACATGTTTTACAGCCAAGAACTGCAGCGGAACGGGCACTGTGGGGCTGTCTTCCTCGGGCAGGGCCCGCGTCAGGAGGGGCGGAGCGGGCAGGAAGTGGTGCCGCTGCCTGGGGCTGCCGGCGGGCGTTGGGTGGGGGGCCCGGCCCAGGGGGCAGCTTGGCGGGCTGGGAGTTGGGACCCAGGGTCCTGGACCGGCGTGGAAGTAGGCTCGTGGGCCTGACTTTCTGTAAAGTTGTAAATGTTACCAAATGGGAAAAATCTCTAATTGGGGACCAAATGCGATAATCCCTCAATTCCCGCCTGGCACGTGAACCTGACTCTCAGGCTCTTCTCTTTGAAACTGCGCCTTAAAGTGCCGCGCGAGGGCCGGGGGTTTAGCTCCGCGGCGCCACTGCCTGCTTCGCAAGGGTGAGGTCCCGAGTTTGAGCCCCAGTAGCAAAACATTAAAGTGCCACACAGGTGCCATTGTGTATGCGTGAGGGGGCAGGATGTTTGAGTGAAATCATTTAGGGTTCAGAGCCGGAGTGTCTCTATGTGTGGATTCAGTGTTCTGTCCCCAGCGCCGGAAAAAAAGAAAACCCACAAAAAACCCAGGTTAAAGTGAAATGTTATTTTAAAGCAACGTATTTAGTGCATATTAGAAAATGTGTGAGATCTAGTCCCATATCTCCTGCCTCTCCAGCCTGTCATCTCAGACGTGTTTCTCAGGAGAGACTAAATTTAGTTGTACTTTGGAAAAAAAAAAAGATTTGTTTTCAGGTGAGAGTCGATGCGGGGAGACACTGCTCCGTGGCAGGGACAGACTGGACGCCTGTCTCCCGACCCTGCCCTCTAGGATGGGCTCAGCAGTTGGGGATGAGCCCTGGGGGAGGGAGACGGGCCGTGGGGCTGGAGGAGCCTGAAGGCCTTGGACACAGCCCAGGCCCGCTTGGTGCCCAGAGTCGGACTTGGGCCGCCGCTGCTGAGGAAGCCCGGAAGGGCACTCTTGCTGCCTGGTCCTAGGTGGTTCTGATCCCAGAGCCTCCAAGGGCTGCCGTGAGGTGGGGACCCCAGGAGTAGCCGCCCCCTTGCCCAGCTTCCAGTGAGGGCCTTCAGTGCCCTGTTCGCACACACGTGGCAGTCACGTAGTTCGTGTGTGCGTGTGCATGCGTGTGCATGCGTGTTGCTGAGTGTCTGTGCCAGGCTGGGTGGATGGCAGCTGGGCCCTGTTTTCCAGGGCTGCGACCTTGAACGTGGCCTCTGCTTCCTTAAGCCCGTTCTGTGACCACACACCCTACCATGGGCATGGGTGGTGCCAGCTGGCACTGCACTGCTGACCTCCGTCCAGCTCTGCAGGGCGCTGTCATGGGCTCCGAGGGGAGGCCCCATGTGTCGCTGGCACGGTGCCGGCAAGCTCACGGGCACGATGCCGGCTGTGGCTGAGCAGGACACGGTCTCCTGGGGCCGGGGTCGCAGAATAAGGCCTTCCATTCTTTGGAAGTGAGAGGGGCCATTGCCAGTTTGCTTTCAGCCTTTTTTGTTTGTTTTGAGATAGGGTCTCACTGTGTAGTCCTGGCTGGCCTCAAAATTAGGGAGATCCTCTAGCCTCAGCCTCCTGAGTGCTGGGATTATGGGTGTGTGCCACCACGCCCGCTGCTTTCTGCTTTTTGAGCCACGTTTTCTGCTCTGTGCTGGGGGTGGAGCACATGGGTAGAGCCCTTGCTCAGCCTGCACAAGGTCCTGCTTTTACCCTCAGTACTGCAAAAATTGTAAAACCGGAAGTGCTCGCCCAAGCAAACGTCAGTGTCAGGAGGGGACTGCAGCGGCGCCCAGGGCCCTGTGCCCCTGGAGAGTTGGGCAGGGCCTCTTGCCCTGTCCTCCCTAGAGGACAGCTGCGGCACTGGGGGGAGAGGCAGAGGCTCACCTGTGATGGCCCCAGGGACTGCAGGCCGAGTGGCTGTTGGGCTCCCTAGACAGATGACACACAGGCAGGTGTCACCCCGGTGATGGGGACAGAAGGTGAGCAGAACGGTGCCTTAACCCTTCTCCCACCGAGGCCATTCCATGGGCACAGGTGGCTTAGGCTGCGGCCACACACAGCTCAGGGCCACTGCGTGCGGCCAGCGCCACCTGCGCCCCAAGAAACAGTGTCTCTCTTCCTCCTCTGCCGGCCCTGCAGCCCCTGTTCTCCTTGGGTTTCTGTAAACCCAACTGCACCAGGCGCCTCACATAATGAGCGGAACCCTACACTGCTTGTCTCTCCGTGGTGGACACAGTGTCACGGGCACAGGGCTCACTGGGTGGTGTTGGGTGGCAGAGTTTCTGTCCCTTTAAGGCTCAAGAATATTCCATTGTGTGGGTGCCTCCCATTGTCTGTCTATTTGTTTGTTTGAGTCAGGGTCTTGCTCTGTAGTCCAGGCTGGCTTCAAACTCACAGTGATCCTCCTGCCTCAGCCTCCCAGGTGCTGGGATTACATCCACCCATCATGGACACTTGTGTTGCTTCCTCCTGGCTGCCTGGAGTCACACTGCGAACAGGAGTTGGTAAAAGCAGCTCCTTGGGGACGGCGCCCTGGTGGGGTTGGCGCACAGGCCCCGAGCTTGGATTTTTACCACCAGGCCGGGGCAGAAACAGGATAGAGGGAGTGCAGCCGGATCGAAGCCTCTGCACCTCTTCTGCTTTCTTTCTTTTCCTGCGAGCTGGGATTAGGAGGATACAAGGGTCGCGGGTCTGTAATGCTGTGCCTCTCGCAGCCTGGGGTGTTCTGCAGGCACCAGGAGCCCACAGCCCTGTGGGAGAAGGGGTCTCTGTCCCGTGTTGCCCTGGCCGGCCTGGCCGGTCCTCTTCCAGCTGCGGGTGTGTTCTTCCAGAAGGAGGGGCTCTGAGGCCGGGAGGGAGCGAGCCTTCTGGGGGGGTCTCTCTGATTCTTGCTCCCCAATGACCCCTTGGGGGGCAGCTGCATCCTCTTCAGACCTGGGGAGCCTCCTTGGTGCCTGCTGTGGCCTGAGGGAGGCCGGGGAGTCCACTCCTCCTCGTGGTAGAGGCGAGGGTCACAGGCCACTGGCTGGGGAGGGAAGGCTGGAGTCACCCCTTTTCTCACGTGGGGAACCGGAGCCCAGAGGGGCCGGCGTTGGCGGGAGGTCACCCACCAGTTGGCGCCTGGCATGCGTCCGCTGCGTCATCCCTGGTGACCGCCAGCGGCTTCCTCCGGGTGACGGTCCTGCAGGAGGCAGAGCCGGCAGGGCTCCCCCAAGTCCCCGCGGGATCCGTCCAGCCCTCCCACAGTCTGAGGACTGAGAAGCGCTGGCCGGGTGTCACATGGGCTGGTGCTGGGGCACAGGACGTGGCCACTGGAGTGACCACCAGGGCTCCCGGACCCGGTGTCCGATGTCTGCTTCCTGTGTGTCCCCTGCTCCGCAGCGCTGAGCCCTGAGGACAGAAGGGCCCGGGTCCTACGTCCGTCCTGTCCTCAGGGCCGGGACACCACGCTGGCCCGCTTTGGGGACGCGCGAGGCCCTGCTAGAGAGTGAGTTGGTGATGTGGCCTTACGTATTCGCAGGTCCAGCTGGGAGCTCCCCGACCTGCAGGAGGGCAAGATCGAGGCCATCAGCGACTCAGACGGGGTGAACTACCCCTGGTACGGCAACACCACGGAGACCTGCACCGTCGCGGGCCCCACCAGGAGGGCGACCAAGTTCATCGTCAGCATGAACGACAACTTCTACCCCAGCGTCACGTGGGCCGTGCCCGTGAGTGAGAGCAACGTGGCCAAGCTGACCAGCATCTACCGGGACCAGAGCTTCACCACGTGGCTGGTGGCCACCAACACGTCCACCGATGACATGATCATCCTGCAGACGCTGCACTGGCGCATGCAGCTCAGCATCGACGTGGACCCCACTCGGCCCCTGGGCCAGCGGGCGCGGCTGCGGGAGCCCATCGCGCAGGACCAGCCCAAGATCCTGAGCAAGAACGAGTCCATCCCGCCCAGTGCCCTGGTCAAGCCCAACGCCAATGACGCACAGGTCCTCATGTGGCGGCCCAAGTTCGGGCCTCCGCTGGTGGTCATCCCCCCCAAGCACCGGTGACACCGGCCCCGGACCCCAGGTTAGACTCAGAATAATAACTCTGCTCAGAACGAATCCAGATGCACTCTTGGGTCATTCAGCGAAATACAACCATTCTACCTTCTTCTCCGGTGGGTACCTCACTGTGCTGCCCCTGTGACCCACCCTTGGCACCTGCTTCCTCTCGGGGTCTGGCGACAGACCCGAGGTGCCCCGAGGGCTCCCGGTGTCTCCTGTCCTCACCCCCTTGGTCTCTCTCGTGCAGACAGCTCCCGGAAACACTGCTTGTTCTTTTCAGTTCCTCCGGTGTGGGGTTCAGGGCAGGGCCGATGGCGGGGCTGCCATCGGGGTGCTGGTGACCCTCCCGCCTTGTCCTCCACCACACGGCCTTATGTAGACTCGCTTTGCCAAACTTTTGCCTTAAGCTGAATGTAAAGGAGAAAAAAAGATCGCAGGATCCTGTTCCACCTCTCCATCTGCCTCCAGAGGTGGAGGGGAAGCCAGCAGGTGCGGGGTCTCAGCCCCTCCAGTGGTGTCTGGGAGGGGGCAGAGGGATTTTAGGCCTAAAACCAGCCGTTGCTCTTTTGTTTTGGCAGAGACAAAACCACAGGCAGATTTCATCCCAGAGCTTCTGGGGACGGGACTCTGCGGTGGCTTCTCTCTGTCTTTCTGCAGCCTTAACTGGCCTGCTGGCCGGAGGAGGAGTGGGGAGGCCCCGGGGCCGGCCAGTCTCGCCCCTCTGTCCCCAGGATCCCCCGGCCTGGCCCGAGGTGAGCTTGTCCCTTTCCCTCCACACCTGTCCCAGAGGCCTGGGCCACCCCGACCCCATGCTGACAGCCCCAGCCTGAGCCTCTGCTTCCTAAAGAGACACGTCCCTTGTCGCACCACGTCTGGAGACTGGAGTCTGGTGGCCCCGTGCCCCAGGGCCACCTCCAGGGCACTGCAGGGAGCCAGGATCGGGTGCCTGGCTCGTTCTCAGGGGATGCCACCCCCAGGCTGTCTGGGGGAGGCTGCACACAGGCCTCGAGCCCGGTGTGGAGGGGAGGCACCGAGGCACCTGCCAGGTACAGTGCGTGACAAGTGCTGCTGTTTCCCGACCTCAGGAAGGAAATGGGGCCAGGCTGGGAGGGTGAAGCAGCGCGAGCCACGGGGGTGGCGCTGGGCTGGTCCTGGGTCCGCCCCCTGGGGCCCTGGGACCCAGGCTGGAGCAAAGCCAGGGTTTCTTGGCGCTGTCTGCCCGGGACTTCCGGGGACGCTCGCTGCAGCCTCCTTTTCAGGCTGCCACAGCCACGTCAGGGCCGCACTCACCCTCCAACAACCAAGCACAGAAACCGTCAGACGTGAAAATAATCTGTTTCCGCTGCAAATGAGCCGCTTGTCAGGAGGCCCCTGAGGCGTGTGGGACGTCTGATTGTCGCTGCTCCTGGGACAGGGTCTGGGGTGCTGAGTGCCCACATCAGGGCCAGGGCGTCCTGAGCCCAGAGGGCCGTGGCCTTGCGTGTGGGGGTGAGGGGCCCTGTACCCCTGCACTCGTCCCCCGGCGGAGGGGCCCGCTCCACACTCAGGTCTTTCTTGCACTAATGGGGAGATGAGCGCTGGGGAGGCGACAGGAAGAGAGGTTTCATCCCTAGCTGGGTCACTACTGAGGGGTCTTCTTCCTGAAAGTGGGGCCGGGTCCTCAAACCCACATTTCTTTTTCATCTACTGCTTGCTATGTAGCCCAGGCCGGCGTCGAACTCACAGTGATCCTCCTGCCTCAGCCTCCGGAGTGCTGGGATCACAGGGGTGCTCCCTCATGCCCGGCCCCAGACTGCATTGCTTGGTTGGGAACCAGCACTGCAGGGTGCAGGATCCTCCCCTGCAGGTCCCTGCCTCCCTCTGGCTCCCCTTCACCCCGAACGCCCTTTTCTCCACCTTCTGCCTCACTAACGGTGGGACAAGGGAGACCCCAGAGAGGCTGCGGGCCGGCCGGGATGCCAGCTTGGGCCGATCCCTCGGCCTCCTTCCTCTGTGGGGGCCCGGGGCGTCCTGCGCGGAGCCCCAGTCCCTCTGCTGCCCCCATCCCTGGCGTGGAGTGGACACTCACGCCTTCCAGCAATAAGAGCAGTCCTCAGCTGCGGCAGTTACTGTGAAACTGAACCAGGGCACTTACCAGGGGCGCAAGACGCTTGAAGACAATGTACAGTGGACCTTTTTAAAGCTTTCAAATGAAAACGTAAATAGCAAAAGAAATAAAATTAATTTTAAAGTAGGCCTGGCTACAGTCTGGTGTTTCTGGAGGGGCGATTCGTAGTGGGCGTGGTGGCTGGGGTGCTGGATTCAGGGAAGAGGGTGTGGGGCTGGTGTTGGGGTGTTAAGGGCCTGAAGGTGGGGGCCAGGATGCTGCCTCACCTGCCCTCTGGGCAGCACCGTCTCTGCCCCAGCCAGCTGTGAGACCAGAAGTGTCCCTGGCTGGTGCCCTGGGCCCTGGTATCTGGCACTTGGTAGGAGCTTGGCTTTTTTTTTTTTAAATATATATATAGCGGGGTTTGAACTCGGTTCCTTGAGCTTGTGAGGCAGGTGGCTGCATCACTGAGCAAAATCCCCAGCTCCTGGCTTGGTTTTTTTGAGACAAGGTCTCACTACATAGTCCAAGCTGATCTCAAGCTACAGCGATCCTCCCGCCTCAGCCTCCCCAGGGCTGGGAGCACAGTCCTGTGGCGCCACGCCCGGCTTGTGCCTGGCTTTTGACAAATATGTGGCGGGTGACTGTTTCGGCAGGGTCCTGAGGTCACCCCTGCGGCCTGCCTCATGGGCTGACACCCAGGGCCTCGTGGGCTGCTGGCTATTCCTGATCAGAGCTGCGTTACAGGGGTGGCCCGCGGCCTGGGGGTGCTGGAGCGGGCCTGGCCTGACGCCGCCCGAGGAGTCAGTAGACACAGCAGACCGTGTGTGCCTGGGGCCCCGGATTGCACAGTGCCTTGCTCTGTGCGGATTCCAGAAGGGAGCAGCTCATCGTGTGCACATGGCAGCCCCACGAGGGAGGCGCCGTCCCCGTGTGACAGAGAAAAAGGCAGCAGGGCTCAAGGTGATGCCCTGGACACACAGCTAGAAAGAGGTAGAACCAGGACTCGAACCCTGGCCCCAGAACCAGGCTCTTACCGCAGTGCTCAGCCTCACGGGTGTGAGCATCCAGTGACCTTGGTTGCTGGTACTATTACTAGAAGGACGCTGGGAGGCTGAGGCAGGAGAATCACAAGGTCAAGCCCAGCCTGGACAGCTTATCAGTTCAGAGCCTGTCTCCACATAAAAAGTACAAAGGCTGACGGTAGAGCTCAGCGTGAGGCCCTGTTTCCTCCCTTAGTACTACAAGAAAACCCCAGCGGTGCATCCTGGGTCCCCGCAGGAAATGCCTTTCCCCCACCTCACTTCCCGAAAGCCCTCCTGCGGTGTCCTCCTGGCCCCAGAGCCCTGTGCACTCCCTGTGCGAAGCGGCTGCTGGTCACCTGGGGCCACTGCTCCTCCCGGGGAGGCCGCCTCTCTGCAGTGCTGTGGGGGCAGGACGCCCTGGCACCCAGTGTGGGCGTTGGGTTTCTGCTCCGTGTTCTCTGCAGCACAGCGCCCGCATCCTGCCTCCTCGGAGCGAGACACCGAGGCAGGAAATTGCGTAACAGGCCTCGCTCCCGCCCCCACCCAGGCGGCTGCTGGGTGGTGCCAGCCACCATCGCAGTTTGGCCTGGGCTTGTGGAGTCGGCCCCAGAGCGCTGCTGTGTGTGCACGGCGCGTGTGCATGCATGTGTGTGTGTGTGGGTGTGTGTGTGTGAACCGACAGCCGGAGGAAGCCAGGTGGTGTCGGGAACATGCACTTTCCACACCGCCCGCAGCCCTTGGGCGAGGGCAGCACCGGAGCGCGGTGTCACCTCCCGCTTCCTCTATGCCGCGGCCATCCCCATGCCACCGGGGCCTTGCAGACCTGTCCGGCTCTTGATGGGATCAGCCAAAAGCTGCCCACCGCGGGCCGGTGACACAGCCACCGCGGAGACTGACGTCCCCTCTGACCTCTGTGGGTCACTTCTAGCTCTGCTGTTCCCTGTTCTCAGAGGAGGAAGCTGGCCCCTGTGGGGACCTGGGGGACCTGCTAAAGGTCACCAGGCTAGGAAGTTGCAGAGCTGGACTGGCTCCAAACATTGCCTCTGAGCCGCCTGGGCCACCTCACAAAGCCAGGCAGAAGATTCCCAGACAGCCCCAAGCACTGAAGACTTCCATGTATTTATGTTTTGCTGTGTGGGGACTGAACCCTGGGCCTTTGCACTGAGCGGCATTCCCAGCTCTATTTTATTCTTATTTTGAGACAGGGTCTTAGTAAGTCACTAAATTTCCCAGACTGGGCAATCCTCCTGCCTCAGCCTCCCAGAGTTCTGGGATTACCAGGTGTGCACCACCACAAACTTTCCAGTGTGAGAAAAGCGTGTGAACAGATAGACTGTGTCCAGAGAGGTAAACCCCCAAACTGACCCTAGTCCCGGCCAAGGCCAGTGCAATTCCTGTCCCTGAGACAGCGTGGCTGGGAATGCAGGGTGGGATTCGCTCCCGCCGCAGCCTGAGGATCCCTGGCTCGCATTTTATCAGACTTTTAGTGTCAGATGCCAGGTGGTGTAGCCGGGTGTTTACAGCAGGCGAGACGGGGCAGGAGCCGCGCTATTCCTGGCTGCCACTTGTCCTGCCGAGCAGAGTCGAGAGTCTCCCAGCCCTGAGTGCCTGTTTCCTAATCCCAGGCTGAGACGCCACCCACGCTGCTCTTCCGGGCCGGGTGGCAAAGCTGGGGAAGGCAGGCTCCTGTCACATTTGTACGAGGCAGCGCCAGCTGGAGACCCCCAGGGTCATCTTGGGACTAGCGATGCCTTGTCAGTCAGAACTTGAACATGTGGTGATCCTCCTGTCTCAGCCTCCCAAGTGCTGCGTGACAGGTGCACTCTACCACGCCCAGCTCCAGACAGGCCTTTCTTAAAATACTGTAACTAAATTTGCCTCTGCACCCGGGGAACCGAGGCCAGGCTTGGTTATTTATTTGGGATTCTCAGCTTTCCCAAGATATACACACTGAGTGCTGCTCAGTGAATTATGCAAAGTTGTTTTTTTCGCAGCGCTAGTGGGTTATAATTCATTCACATCATGGTGGCGCACATGTGTCATCCCAGTATTTAGGAGGCTGAGGCAGGGGGATCGCAAGTTTGAGCCCAATCTGGGCAATTTAGTAATTTAGCGAGGCTGTCTCAAAGTAAGAAACAGGGCTGGGATTTAGCTCAGTGGTGCCACCGCCTGCCAAGGAAGAAAGAAAGAAAGAAGGAAGGAAGGAAGGAAGGAAGGAAGGAAGGAAGGAAGGAAGGAAGGAAGGAAGGAAGGAAGGAAGAGAAGGCTGGGGATAAAGCTTCAGTATCAAGGCCCTGGGTTCAATCCCCAGTACTGCTGCTCCCAAAATATTTCAGTTTCTGGTCCACCCTGCAAGCCTAAAACTCTGCACTTGTTAACCAACTCCCCACCTCCCCTCCCAGCCCTGATGATTGCTCCTCTGCTCAATGTCCACAAGCCCGAATGCTCTGTAGCCTCGGGCCAGGGCTGCCCAGGGCTCATCCCCTGTGCCCACAGCGCGTGGCGCGAACTCCTGTCGTGCCAAGGGCTCCCGGTGCCCGAGCCCGCTCTGCTGCCCCTGCTCTTGCCCTTGCACTGATGTCCCCAGCGTGGGTTACCTGCAGCCGCTGGGCAGGGACACACGGTGTGGCCAACCTGGACTCCAGAGCGACCTCTGGGAAGGTGTATCAGGGCACCTGCGGGGTTCTCACAGCCTCCCTTGAGTCGTTCATTTTTTAACGTTCATTGGTTGAATGCAAAGTCACTAAGTTGCCCAAGCTGGACTAGAGCTTGTGATCCTCCTGCCTCGGCCTCCAAAAGGCTGGGATTACAAGTGTGTACCACCACTCCAGGCTCCCCAGCCCTTAAATATTTAAACTTTTTATTTGGCTGTACCAGGGACCAAACTTAGGACCTTGCGCTTGGAAGGCAGGCACGGTGTTACTGAGCTAAATCCCTGCCACCCCCAGCCCTTAA